CCCCCCCCCCCCCCCCGCGGGAAGTGTGAGAACGGTTTTTCTTTCGGACAGGTAAGAAAATGTTCGTGAAGAGCGTGAGCACAGAACTTTGGCGCCACACAGCCATCGCTCGCCGGCCACAGTTATGCAGGGTCGTAACTACGCGTTATATAGACCTGGAGCCCGGTCACTTGTTATATGTATATATAATGTTTAATTGTTTTATACATTTTCATAATAGTTATGACAAAGCTTTTCACGATCGTACTGTTTTAAATAATTTGTTGATATCTGAAATGTTTTTAAAAATTAATTAAGTTTACTGGAAGTATCTATCTGATGTAGCATATTCTAAAGCATATATAATTTTTATATGTATTCACCGCATGCAAGATATATCAAATAAAATTGCTTGCTTTCTAAAAGGAAAACATCATTGTAATCGGTTTTTTAAATGGTACATCTAATGATATCATTCTGAATTCGAATAAAGTACTAAATTTGACGTAAAAAACTTTTACACAAAGTATGATCTACAATGGATGTGTACTGAAGTATTTTTAAATTAACACTAAAACTACTGAATGTACTCGAATATTCGTTATAGTTCCAGTAAAATTACTTAATTTTTAAAAACATTTCAGATATCTAATACTTTCAAGGTATTAATAATCGAAAGATAATAGAATTTATACCGGCCATCTTGACCAATTCGATAGTTTTAGTGTTAATCATTGTAATAACATTACTCGTGTATATGTATTCACATATTAAACAGCAAATTATTTAAAACAGAACGATCATATATACATATAAGAAGTGACCAGGGTCCAGGTCTATACAGCGCATAGTCACGGCCCTGAATAGCTGTGGCCGGCGAGCGATCGCTGTGTAGCGCGAAAGTTCTGTGCACGCGCTCTTCACGGACATTTTCTTAACCTGTCCGAAAGAAAAACCGTTCTCACACTTCCCACGGGGAGGGTTCCTTTTCATAAATGTCTGCAGAATCCAATGGTGCATAGCAAATTCGTGCTAGTCAACCCACTTTTTGCAGAAATGTAACAGAAATGCGTACAAAGTATGTGAATCTACCATTTTTTGAACTTTGACGATCATTTACAAACATTTAATGACACGCAATATTCAGAATTTTTACAGCTACATATTCGGGTAACTCTCCTCTATTTTTTACGACGAATTTTAACTGCCTCTCGTTTTTAGTTTTCACGTAACACATGTTTCTCTGAAAAATTCAACCGCTCTTACAAAACTCATTTTTTCGAAAAATTTGATCTTCGGATTCGTATTTAGGGTAAGAAACTCTATAAGGACCACCTAGTGGCTATTACAAAACAAAAATCGCGTTCCACAGTGTTATTTGAACTATCTGGCTCATCATTATTTTCCTTCATTAATTTATTTGTAAATAAATTCTTTACATTAAATTGTTTTGGATTTTGTGATAACACGTCTTCCTTAGTTTGGATAACATCAATCTTTGCCGGTTGGTTCTCTGTATCACTAAGATGTTCATCTTCTTCTTTTAATGAATTACTTATTGAATTTTCACTATGTAACTTTAATTCCTTAACTGTATCTTCAGTACAAATTAGAGGACTTGTTTTTGATATATTTTGTACTAATGGCTCTGGCAGTGTTATAGTATCTGTAGGATCATCTCCGCTTGCATTATTAGTATTTACCATTGCATTCATATCAACAGCTGACATATTGATTTCAATATCTTTAATTGTAGAACATTTTTCTGCTACTTCTACTGTAATAAACATAAATATAAGTTAATTACAATTAAATCACCATGGAAGTATAAAAAAAAAAGTAATTTAAGTAATATTCCATTTTGTAAAATTCAGGGGAGTATTATGTTATAAGCATGAACTATAAATAAGACAGCAACTTGCTGTCTAAATTGCTTCTCATTGCTTCTTTAGATATATTTTCAGAACTAGAGTTAAGTGGATCCTTTGAAATTGACTCAGATTTAATACTTTATCCTATAGTTGGGTTTTCCAAGTCTGAAATTTAATTACCCTATATAAATTATAAATTAGATTTGTCTCATGTCTAAAAAGTTAAATTAACAAATAAATGTAATTAAATCAACTTTATTGAAATATAATGTATCTGTTTCATTAATTTCTTTGACACTGGGTAATATTCGATCAAATGTTATTTTAAACATCATTGTTTCTTTTGCTTCTTGTAAAACAGGTGTTCTTGAAGATAGCATAGATTATTGTTTTTTTAGATTAACAAGAGTGTGCAGCCAGCTCTTATGAATTGTTTGCTGAAAATAAATACATAAATATAATGCAATTATAACATTTTATAAACATTCTAATTTCACATGTATTCGGTAACAAACAAATGATTTGTAATGTATTTTACGAATGTAAAATTATCTTAATATCAGATACTGTTCTCATATAGTATTAGAACAAGAAAATAAATTTAAATATATTAAATATATTTGAACGTAAAAGATAAATTAAATTAAAATATTTACACACACACAATTTTGTGATAATATAAGAATATATTTGAATAATTTCACAATAACTATTTTGAGTGCACTTTATTACTATCATTTTTTAATAAACTTATTTTTAATAATTCTCAAAACCTTCATAAAATATTTATAATTCGAAAAATAATTACAACATTAAGTCATAAGCTGCTTTGAATGCCTTATTTTAAAGTCAGTTAATTAAAGTGAAAATTCATTCTGTTTAACAGTAAAAACTCGAGAACTTGACGTAGTGGAGAATTGACTCTTCCTGAGCCGCTGACACTTTGAATCGCGAGACATGTGAACACAACAAAAATATAGAGTACGAAAAACAAATGTATGCAACTTCTCTAGAAAGCACGTTGCAAAGATTTGTAAGACGAACTTTTACAGTATCACACGATTTAAAACTTATGTATTTAGTATGATATTTAATGTTGAGTCGCGTTGAATTTAATGACGAAACGCGCGCGCATATACAGGGTGTTAAAAAATTATGGCGCGTAAATGAAAAGACGTTAGAATTCACTTAACTGAGTAAAAAAAACCCTAGTGAACATGGATCGAAATCTTAACAGTGTAGAAGAGTGCCGAATTATTGAGATAACAAATGAGTTGCTCAAAAGCCAATGCGATTAAGTTCATTTTTTGATATTTTCTGATTTTTGTAAATTTTAATGGAATAAGTAATATTTTTTTTAGTTATTAAAGGATTTACTCGTTTCTTTGTTTTTTCTAGGCCAGTAAGCCCTTCCTTTTATAACTTCTGAATATGTGGTATAATAATTTCAGCAGTCAAAACAATATTACAAATTACATTGATTTTCTCAATTTTTGTTTTCTGGACTTAATCGCATGGTTTCTGAGCCGCTCAAATGTCAGTGATACCAACAAATATATTAAACCAGGGGTGTCAAATTGGAAGCCACGAGTTCCATAGTGACTTTTCTCTCGCGGAGAGTTACCCTCTCCATACCTAAGAATACCAGTCTCGACAGCTCCTAGAGTAGCGTTAGTGAGGGAACACTAATCGAGAGTCACTAGTATAAAGGGAATCAGTTGGAAACCTCTAGTTTTTAAGGACCTTAGGAACCTAAACAAAAATTCCTATACTATGCACCTACCTATACGGATTTTAAGTCTGTAGCCATATTCACAGTTCAGCACAGCCTTATTAAATTTGTAGTCTGTGGTACGTATTCTAGAGTTTGTCACCTGATGTCTCTAGCTGTAATTCGTACAACGGACATTCGCGCACGTGTGTTGAAAACATACTTTGTATAGATTAAATTCGAGTATTATAACATATTTATGTTTAAAATATTTATATTATTTTTTACGTGTTTATCATTGTTTAATAAATAATTTGAGCAAAAACTAAAATGTCACAGTCTAGAAAAGATACAAACGATGAAGTAGACGTAAAAACTGGTTTGTACTTTTTCATTTTTTTATTTATATGTGCGCACGCGGTCCATCTAGCTATCAGATTTAACGATCGATTCGGCATTGAATAACGCACTACATCGGTATTAATTCGTATGACATTACAAGAATTCGTTTCTTTAATCTTTGTAAAGTATTTTCTTTAAAAACTAAATGCATTTCGTCCGTTTTTTCTATACATTTTTTAAAAATTTACAGGCCGTAGGACTCAAAGTATTGTCGACTCCGAAGTTGTACATTCTCCATTACGTCGTAGCTCTCGAGTTAAATCTCTTGTTAAACAAAATGAACCTTCACCTGACACATCTGTAGGAGATGTTGGTAACATTAATAATACTTATACAACAAGAAATACGAGACGTCGAATAGATTCTCCAGACAATTCTACAATGACTGAGAAGAATAGAACTTTACGTTCTAGAAGAAGTTCTGTAACTTCAGATATGATTGGCTCCTCAGATGCAGATACTACTATTGTCACTTCATTAAAGAAGAATAGAAATGTTTCTGATAATGAAGAATTGAATAAGACTGATTTTCAAACTAGGTATGTAAAATAGTTAATGACTAATTATTATAATTACTTTTTAAATTATAAATATCCTATTCAAGAAACCCATTCTTTAAATATTATGAGTACCATTACAAATAAAATTATTAAATAATTATATTAATAAAATGTACGTATAATAGTCAATGTGAAATTACTCAAGTATATTTTTAAACTATTAGAAAACTGTGTGTAAATGTTTTCAGTTAATGTATTTTTCATACTTGGAGTTTATTGTTAATATATTTCGATTTACTTTACTAAAATCATATAAGAATGGGTAGATACACGTTATAAACCGACCTAATATCTGAATATTATCCAAAGGTCAAAGAATAATAAGTGCATTTATATACAATGTTTGGGATTTGTTCCTGACATACATTTAAGTAATTTTACATTCACAAAACATACATTACAAGTTGCATATGTCTTACATGTAATATTTGACCATACTTGTAATGATGATTATTCTAACATATTATAATTCTCTTGTTTAACATGTTTATTTTCAGTAAACGATTTACAAGAGCTGGCTCTGAAGCTAAGTCACCACCAATAGTAACAAGGGTCACACGAAGAACAAGAGCTAGTTCTATGGGACCCGAAGCTATTATAGGAAGTAATCTTATAGAAACAAATAATAGTGGTTTAGTGCACACACCTGTTAATACAAGAAAACGAAGATCAATGTTATCTTTAAAAACACCCATGTTAGAAGAAACAATGATACCAGTAGTAACATTGGATCGAATGTTACCCAGTGTCAAAGAAATTAATGAAACAAGTACATAATCCTTTTATACAGTCAATTTAATTGCACCTATTTAAATTATTAACATAATTTACTGGATACAAAGCAATTCTAATTTGTAATTTATATACACCATATTAAATTTCAGATTTGGAAAATCCAACTATTGACCAAAGTAATAAATCTGAGTCCATTTCAAAGGATCTGTTTCATTCCAGTTCTAAAAATGCATCTAAAGAAGCAACAGAAACCGATTTAAGTGGTAATCTAAGCGCATTTGATCGAATGTTACCCGGTGTTAAAGAAATTAATGAAACAAGTACATAATCCTTCTATACAGTCAATTTAATTGCTCTTATTTAAATTATTAACATAATTTATTGGATACAAAGCAATTCTAATTTATAATTTATATACACCATATTAAATTTCAGATTTGGAAAATCCAACTATTGACCAAACTAATAAATCTGAGTCTGGTTCAAAGGATCCATTTAATTGTAACTCCGAAAATGCATCCAAAGAAGCAACAGAAACTGATTTAAGTGGTAATCTGAGCTTATTTAAATATTGCTATCTTATTAATAGTTTCTGCTCATATTAAATAATTATGAAATGAAATTAAATATAGTTCAAATTATTCTGATGTACTCTTATGGAAATTGAACTATATAACTAACTTGTGTTTATGTTTATTACAGCGAAGGAAGTACACAACAGTTCTGTGGAAAGTTCTCCTGCACATCAGGATACTGAAATAAGTATGCCTATTGTTGATAAAACTACAGTGCCAAATACTGATGACACAAAGGAAGATGCGCCTACAGATACCATCACATCACCAGTGCCACTAGTAACGGGTATATTAAAAGAAAGTTGTCAAATCTCCACTGAAAATACTATCAAGGAATCAGGACTAGTAATTGAGAATTCAGCAAATAATTCAATAAAGGGAGAAGATGAACATCTTAGCGATAAAGAGAACCAACCAGCAAACATCATTGATAGTAATCAAAATAAAGAAGATACAGTTTCTAATGCATTGTCAAGAAGTCCAAAGCAAATTGCTATGAGCAGTTTGTCCACTAATAAATCAATAAAAGACAATGATAATGAGGCAGATAGTCCTGACAGTATGCAAAAGTTAGTAGTTACAAGCGAAGAATCATTAAGTGAAACACTACTTAATGATAGCACAGATCAAAATGCTTCAATTATAGAAATGTGCGATGGCTCAAGTCTAGATGATAATATTCAAATTGTGAAGTGTCCAGATAATTTAAGTGATTCAGATAATGATAAGGTTCATAGTGTAGAAAACGAAACTACAGAACCAACACAAGAGGTTAGCTCAGACAGTGAAACCGTTAGGGAAGGTAAGAATGTTGATACAATTTTATCTTCAGAAGCAGAAATTCAACAGACTTCTAAAGAATGTGTAACAGAGAAATGTAAAGAATCCTCAGATGTTCATATGGAGTCGGAAGATTTAGAATCTATTAATAAGGAGGAGGATGAAGTAAGTAATATAATTAAGAATAGTCAATCTTCAACTGCCACAGATTTTCCAGTTGAATCTATTGAAGTTCCGAAGGAAGATGTGACTCAGAATATGTCTGTGTTGGATAATTCTTCAGCTTCTGAAGAAAAATGTATGAACAATTCTGAGCCATGTAAAGAAAAGATTAATGAAAGTGGAATTCAGGAAACATGTGAGAAGGATGAAGAAAAAATGAAAGAAGAGGATAATTCTGATTCCAACATAGATACAAATTTATTTCAGGATATTCCAGCTGATGAATGGAAAGTGAACAATTCTGATAACAATTTCATACACTCAGTGTCGGCAGAAAAATTAGAAGATGAAAGTGAGAACGAATGTGATCTTGTTTTAGTTGATAAGGAAGCGTGGCAAGCTACAGAAGATATAAACAAGGAAGAAGAGACCAAGAAATCATTGAATTATGATTCGAATGATGCAGTAAAAGCACAGAAAGATACATTGAAAGCACAAGAAATAGAAGAAGCAGATGCATCAGAGGAACAAAGTAAGATGAATGAAAATAAATCTCCAAAGACAAAAATTTTACGACAATCTATGCAACAAGAAAAAATTAATGAGAACGAAAATGTAACAACTAATTCACAAAATGTAGAGAATGTGTGTATGCAAAAATCGTCAGCAGAAGAAAGTCCTGAAGACTCTACTCTGCACAATAATACATCAATGGAAAAGAAAATAGAAAACAAAGATTTAATAACAAAAAGTGAGGAAGATCAAAATAAATTATTTACTGATTTATCTATGGATAAGAATAAATCATCTGACAATATTTTAAAGAAACGAATATCTCTTTGTAAGTCTGACGAAATGATAAATAGTGAAATTGAGGAATCCAGTGAATCTGAAACTTCGGAAAAAACGAAATCAATTAATAAATCACATGGTTCATTATTATGTGATTCAAGTAGCTCTAGTAAGTCGGATAAAAGTATAGACTCTGATATTGAAAGGGAATATAATTTGCACGGCGAAGAACCATCCAAGTTCTCGGATGACGACGTGCCAGGTGATGAGTGCAGGGCATCAGAAACTGAATCATCGGATCCTAATGATAATGGATCGGATCTTGCAGATTTTGTAGTGAATGATGATGATATTTCTGAGGAGGAAGAAGATCAGAAAAGTGAGAGTGACCAAGAGTTGTATAATAATGAAGATAGTGAAGTTCAAGAAAGTGAACTGGATGAAGAACACGAGAAAGAGCAAATTCAAAAAGAAATTGAGGAGAAAGTAATGAAAAAAGAACAACGGAATAAAACTGTAGAAAGAAAGATTGAAACAGTAATAAATAAATCCACGGACACTACGAACAGAAAAAAGGGTAAATTAAAGAAATCTATACGTTTAAATTTACCTGAAATGTTTGAAAGAACTAAGAAAAATGAGAAGAAATCGAAAATCGAAACAGGTAATAAAAGAAGAAGAAATAATAGTATAAAGGATAATGATGATAAAAAGAAAATTAGAAACAGCATGAAGTATGAGAAAGAATATAAGAATCAAGCAGGAGGATCTAATGCGACAGAAGTATCGAGGAAAGGTGTGAAACGTATTTCTGAAGATATTCTTGGAAATCTATCAGATGTTCCTTTAAAGGCACCGAAGAAAAGGAAACAATCAATGTCTGAAAAACAAGAATTGCCATCGCGTTCAATGAATAATTTAACGATTAAGAAAAATAAGGTAAATGTAGGAGAAGACTTTATTTCATTAAGTTCCTATGGAAGCACAACAAATTTTTATGTAGAAAATCTTCGTAAGTTTATGAAAAGTAGGAAGACGTCAGAAGTACAGTCATTCAGACAAAGAATGCTTCAAAGAAATGCACGTCAACGTGTTTCACATTATTTAATGTATTTAGAAAAGCAAAAGTCTTCGGATAAACGTAAATTTCGTAATAAACCGTGTTAAATTCTTAGTTTATACGATGCTTCCTAACCGTATACTTTATATTTACAAGGGAACTTCGGTAATTTGAAACTTTCAGTTCTTTTGAAACTTGGCAGATTTATAGAGAACTCTAGCAGTCTGTTTTAATTCTTTAGGGTAGTAACATTCCTTAATGATACTTTTATCATCGACTTTTATGAATTAGGAAAATTTAAAAAACATTGGAATTTTCAAACTACCGAAATATTTTAACTGCATTGCATTGTAATAATTGTTTTATACATTATGAGTAAGCGCGAAAACCAATAATTATTGTAATCTAGTGTAAACTAATATACAGCTTGGTTTAATTAATCATTAAACAATGATAAACACATAAAGATGAATAAAACTAATATATGTTCTGGACATAAATACATACAACATCCGAATTTAAATTACACCTAAGATGGCGAGGTTCTATAATACGTACAGGTGATCACAGACTTGTATAAGAGATTCCAAGGTTTTCGATTAGCGCTGCTGGTTATACCAGGAGGTCTTAGAATGACGCTAGTTCAGAATTCATTATTTAGCTATTCTCAGGATTCTCTCTACGAGTGGAAAATTATTAGAAAATTGTGAGAAAATCAGCCTAGAGAAAAAGAAAATTGTCAAAATTGAAAATATTGCCAAATGACTCGACGGTTCTTTTCAATTTCAAATTTTAAGTTTAATATTCAGCATTAATTCCAGTTGCACTTGGTTTTATCTCTTAACAGTATATTTATTTATTCAAAGGTTATAAAATAGCAGTTCTTTTTTTCAAAAACTTGTAGAATCTTTTTGTTTGTGTAAGTTTTCTAACGAAAACTCCCAACTTTATCTTATATTTCAGATAACAGAGAAGAAAATTGCTTTTGGCTATACCTCCAGTAAGAAAATCTGTTTATGGCCTAACTACACCTTTTCTATTTTCAATCGTATATTCAGTTCAATGTTGAAGATGCGTAGCATCGATCTAATAAAATCAACTAAAGAAACTATTTTTTCAGTATACCGAGTTCAGCAAGTTCTCCAATGTCCTTCAGGGGCACACAGATACTTCCCGAATATTTGAATCAATATTCTCCAGATATCTGTACTGCAGCAAGTAGACTATGTATATTAAATAAGATTAATACAGGGATTTTAATCTTCCGTCGTTCATGATTTTTGCAAACTTTTACTTTCGAATTTCGAACTGCCAAACACAAGCGCACAAATTGTATAAGAAAAAATATAAATTTAAAACATCAATTGCGTATTCGCGAAGAAATTATATATTTTTCTGCTAAATTGATCTTGACAGATAATGCTTGCATGGATCGTTTTTCTTTACAGTCCAAAGGGTTTTGGTTTTTACATTCCGAAACTTATATTAGAGTTAGTTAATTCAATTGTTGTTTAATATGGAGTTTTGCAAATTTATTATAGAACATTTAAGAAGCATTGAAATTGTGATTTTATATACGTATGATATAATCATTATACATTAAGAATTTAAATATTATGATTGCTAATGCATAATATCAGTTTAACGAGATGTCACTGATTATCTGACATTATTGTAACAAAATTTGCAATGCAATTTCCACAGTTTTCTTACATTATTCAGAATTTCTTTTATGCTATTAAATATCATGTTGCAAATGAAAACTCCAATGTTTTTAATAATTAAATAACTGTTCGGCGTAAGGAAGGAAAAGTGAAAACTTCGAGGAATCATTGATTTTCATTGAAATATGTAATATCATTTCATTTGACTGTTCGATACAAATAGGTTTTATTGTTGTGCTTCCCGCGTACTTGAACTTACAACGTGTACTTCCGCTTTTATCGAGACATACATATAAGATACACGAATAGAATTATCTTGCGCAAGACTTAGATTACTGTCAGTAATGTTTAAATGGTAGTTCGCATTCAGAGCTAGACTGATTGAAGTAAAAATAATAGAGCAACCGAAGATTCTTTTGTTTTATCGATAACAAGATTAAAATGTGTATTGTAATTAAATTTTCAAAGGAGTAAACACGATGGATATTTCTTTGAACACAGTGTCTTTTATAATCGCATCGTTAAATAATAATTTAGAATCACAAGTTTCTCGCATGTCACGTTCAACGTAGAAGATACACTTTAATTGTTATAGAGTGTCATAAATGACTAGTTGCATTCTACGCCGTAATACTGTACAGGGTTTTCAAAAATGGGCTTTACAATAAAATGAAATCATTACTTTTCAGTTTTCTTCAAATGAATGCCAACAATTAATAGAATCATAATTGATTTGAATATGATAAAGAATTTCACATGTACAATTTACAAGTATTCATCTATTGATAACACGCAACGAAACACTGATTTTTCGTAGAAATTTTCTTTCTTAATTCAAAAGATACATATTTGATGACGACGCCCTGTACACATACGTGGCTATCGAGTAACATGTATACTTCTTTTTTAATGATTTGTCCCTTAAATTGTCACCTGTATAATACAAATAGTTCCTAGATCGTTGTACATTGGTATATTACCAGCCCTCGCCTATGTGAAATTTAATTACATTCTTTCGTTCGCTTTCTTAATTACTAATTAAAATATAAATACCTATATATATAATATATATATATATATATAATTCCCTTTACATAGTCTACTTATATCGATTTTGTTTAAGCTTTATTAGCCATAGACAATCTGCTTGATATTTACAGAGATTAGATACAAAATTATAAACAGTTCTTAGTACAAAATAATTTTATGACTATAACGATTAAGGTTCAATAGCGTAGAGCAGGCTTAGGCAACCTTTCACGGCCTATCAACGGTCCTCTGTCTCTCTCTCTTTTTCTCTCTCTCTCTCTCTCCCTTTTCTTTCTCTCCCTCACACTCTCTCCCTCACACTCTCACTCCTTTCCTCCTTTATCCTCACTGTATAAAGGATCTGTTCGACGAGAATCATTTGGAAGAAAGATTAATTTTTGATCGGTTTTCGGAATAGGATATTTACAGGTTCATCGATCACCAAGATCATAAGCAATCGCTAGCGATTAGCATCACGATTCCATCTGAATGGTAATTGACGGTAAACATAGTCTACTAAACATGTACGATATTTTCCGGTATAGGACGGGGTGTTCAGAATGTCCTTACATTTTTCTATGAAGTAATTAATATGGTAAATTTTATTTTGTAAAATTTCTTAAAATTTTGGTATTTTATTGAATTTTGTATTGCGAATGAACGAATGATTTCTTTATATTTTTTTAGTAAATGAAGCTTTTGCAATAAGAATTACAATTTATAATGATAAAATATCTAATGGCATTAACTGATTTTATTATGATTTATGTCACAACATAAATAGGATTTATTTGACTCGCTTTTAATTATTTCGGTCGTTACAAATTACCCATGACTACTAAAGAATCAGTAGTTGTCACGATAGTTAACATGTTATCTAACAATTCATATTTTCTTGTGCGACTTACACAAATTATATGATTATCAAATACAATTACAAGTTTGGAAAATTCAAACGTACGTGTACAAACTGTTACTTCGTAAATCGTAAATCATAAAACGTAACTCCGTTTAAAGGTATCGCAAAACGGTTTGAACCATGCAAGGATGTTGATTACCGATTACGCCTATCTTTAATTATGCGATAGATTGTAATACTTTACCAATTTACATTTGATACTTCATAATTGTTTTGTACCTGCTTCACAAAACTAAATAGGGACTGTGTGGACACCCTGTACTTAGAACGAAAGAAATGAACAATCGTTCTACAAATCGAAGCTGATAGAAATAATACTGATAGTTTCGTGTAACGAAATATTTGCTACGTTTCATTGTACCGAGAGTTCGAACATCAATATATTATTGCTCTATACAGAGGAAAACGATTGTTTGATATGATAAACGCACATCGAACAAAGCGACTGTACGCCGCAGTGAAAAAGCCAAGAGATTGCCCGTGCCTGAATAGAAGATACAGCTAGGTGAGCTCTCTACAGTCTTCCGCGATTACCTCTAGATTTCTCTCAATTCCACGTTAGGTTAACAATCGGGTGTGCTGGGAATCAGATTCTATAAATCCGCCGAATAACAGAGATTTGCTTCAATTATTACAAAGACAAATTCTTCGCTTAAAACAAGTCAAATTCCTGTGCGATCGTTTTACATGATGTGGTTTCACGTCCATAACAAAAATTTAGATTACAATTCTTACATAATTTATTGCCGTATGTCAGAAGGCTGAGTTAATACAGAGTGTTTAAAAGAGATTTTCTACCAGATTTAACTATTTCAATTGCCATTGGATATGAAACATATCAGCAAATAATATCAGTAAGAAAAATGTATTTTATGATTTTCCTTAATTTTTAATTCGTTTACCGTTTACATGCTTTGTACGCTTTTTCAATATTTCTGAAGTATTTTACAAACATTTTCAATTGTTTTAAGTTATATTTTTGTATTTTTCAATGATCAATATTTATTTTATAATCATTTTTATTTACGAGAATCAAAGGCTCTAAATATTTTCTTTTCAAACACTCTGTATGAATGCATGCTAATACAAACAAGAGCAAACCGCAGCTGATTTCAACTAACAATACTCCATACAATATCTTTTGTCTATACACATTATTTCATAGACAATTAAAAACTACGCAGTAAAAGATGTAAAGCTAAGAAGGTTAAAAAAACAGATTGGTGAGTGAATAGAGCAAGAAAATGGAATTCTAACTTCGCGTTTTTCGCTTTCGGATTAATTCATCTTAAAATCCTTCTTAACTCTAAACATTTTATTCTACACACTTTAATTATCTATAAGAAAATGCGTTTAGTAGAAACATTTTTTAAAAAATCATTTGCGGGGTTCCCTTGTCAGTATATCATGATGACGTCATTTGTATACCAATAATTGAGAGATAATAACAAACTTTAAGGTACGTAATCCATTTGATCTTACTTCTACTTATAGTTCGTTTACAATTAAACAACTCATAATTTTTTAATTACGAAGGATAATCATTTGTTATCACTGGTTTATGCATTCGATAGTTCTATACAGTGAACATTGGATAATTGCAACATTCAACGGAACTGGTAAGGTTGCAATTATGAACAGGTAGAATCGAATCGATCCCAAGAAACGAAGATTTTGGAATTGCAGACGTGGAAGAGGACAACGTGGGTGAAAGAAAAAGAAAGAACATTAAAGGCGCACGATAAGCTTGAGACCTTTAACTTAAAAATTAAACTTTTTTATTTTTAACTTTTGATGAATGAAACTTTCACCATCGCGTTTGTTATGTTCTTCTGATTAAAATGACACCAAACACGGTAGAATTACGATCATAATTGCTTGTATAAAAAACGATTGACGTTTCGAATATAGAAAAAGATTGTGAACAGAAAAGAAAGAGACGTTGAAATTGTAGAGTTCGACAATAGTCGAATCATGGTACACCATTTAATTGCGGTCGGTCGTCGAGCGCTATGGTGTGTTAAAAGATACATAGTGGAGATATGGTGGGGATGACAATGTTACAATTATGAAGAGGTCCCCAATGTAGCAATTATCCAATGTTCACTGTATGTACTTCTTAAAAATGCTCGAAACGTTACTCCGTCAATTCATGAAGTGACGAGAATTCGAGAGCAAGGTCAAACGGATCGAACACGTTGCCATATTGGACCGCTTATTTTGAAAGTAATGTACGTCGATTTTTTTCAAAAAATTGAAAAAACGAAAAATGTATATGTACTTTTTATTTAATAATTAATTTACAATTGAAATCGTAAAAGATTTGAATCAATTAAGGTGTCGATGCTAAATGAAATGACGTATCTAATTATTTATTTGAAACGTGATGTAAGTCCATTCAGAAACCAGAAGAAGAATAATGATCTAGTTAATTATCAAGAGAACTATTCATTCTGGAAACATAAACAGTTCACATTAACTTAAAACAACAGTGAATGAATTTACACCACTGCCAAAATAAAAGGTCCATATATTTCTCGCACTTTGGAAATAAATTAAAACAATTATATTTTCACATTGTTCAAAAAGATACCACTTTTTGAAAAACTGTTGTTCACCTCGCTTCATGTAAAACGTACTGGATCGTGACGTGGTCAGGCGAGGAATAAATCGCAAACTAATCGTCCGCGGGAACGATGTGCTAATTCGGCGTATTACGTGTCCAGTTATAGGATTCTAAATAAAGGAAATTGGTGAAAAACGATAAATTCACTGTCGACGATTTTCTTCGCAGTGCCAATACTACTTGCGATAGCACCAACATGGAAGATTGAACGATCCCGGAAGCCTCGAGGCTTGAGCGTGATTGTCGATGGTTTACGCTAGTGAAGAAAATATTCCATGTGAAACATTCCGCAACCAAGAAGAGGCAAGCAACGTCCTTGTCGCGTAGAAACTTTTCACCGATTGCCAATTCACCCCTATTGAGTGGATGGTCGAAATCAACGTTAGAGCTCACGGATCGAAGCGACGTTGACGAAACATTGGATTCATTGAAACCGAGTGTTCTCAACTGATCGATGCGGCGATGACAAAGAATTTCCCTCGAACGATACAGTTTTCGCAATGAAAAGAACGATTAAGTATTAGAAATCACAGGAGAAAAGATTCGCTTAGCTGCGAAATAGCTTTCGAAAGGATTATGTCTGCTTTCGTTTTCTTTGCTGCGGTCTCTTTGTTACCTGGTTGTTCGTATTAATATTTTTCTGTCTCTTTGTGAGATAAAAGATTCTTCTATGATCTGTGGAATACCGATACACTGACGGATAGAAGAGAGTTATTTGAATTATAGAGAGCAAATTTTCTTTTCGATAAAGAACAGGTTGTGCACAGAGATAGAAAGAGTTATTCGTACGTAGTAACATACTCGACTTCAAGATGTATTGTTTTATGACAGTAGAATTAAATTAAATATCAGAGTAACGATGAAAAACGAAATTCTTGGAATACTGTAGTGAAGAAATTGATCTTTTAGATTACTGTCGCATAACGTTGTCGTGTAACGCTATATGTATATGTTTTGAAGAACTTTGTCAAAAAATACAAAACATCCAACACCAAAATAGAACGAATTAAAATGTATTTTAATATGAGAGTGACTAAAAAAAGGAACATACATTAAGAAATAGTGTAATTAACTCTAGGCTCAGACTATTGCAGATAATCATAGAATTGAAAAGGTAAAGGTGGTAAAATCACACCTAATATTAACTATTTCATTCAATTCATTTAATTTTCTAGAATAAAATAGAAAAACGTGTCAATACTCTCTTCTCCAGCATTTCTAGTAATATTTGCAAACTCAACTTGTTACTTTGTAAATAATCGTTAAATTTGTATCATAGATACATAAATTAGATTTGTATCGTTAAGTTAAAAGCAGCGGTGAACCCGTACATTTCAACGTAAAAAATTTTCTATTTAATTCTATTATTCAAACATAATACCAGATTAAAGTCGAATATATTATTACGTGAATGCTTTTTCCGTCACTAAGTTTCGAATTTTCGCGAACAAAAGCAATTTGAACTACTCGATTTCCCTCTCAATCAATGTAGTGTTCCTGGCGATTGATAGTCAGGAATAGATTTGGTTCAATTCTTGCTTTTTTTCTTTCTTCTTTTCGCTTCGTCGACTAAAATAGACTCGGTTAGAAATTGAGATTGAACGCAGCGCAAGATGAATAGTCCTTTTGCTACTGAGATTTCCGAACCAGTAGGTACAGGTAGGTACGTAG